GCGCCGGCTCTCCAACGCGCAGCTGCTGCTGCTGCTGTTGCATTCCCGCTCGTCTGGGGTTCCTCCTCCTCCCGGTGTCTCCAAGTCGCTCGTTCTCTCTCTCTCTCTACGACGGCGAGCGAACGCTGTGAGGCAGCCGCCGTCCTTCCAGCCACTCGATCTGCTACAACACCCCCCTCCCCCTGCCCCACAATGTTATAAAATTAACCGTCACTGAAAAAAGGGATGTCAGCTGGTGGTCGAATGGCACCCAAGGAGGGCACTGGCCTGAGAGGAGGGCGCCCGCTGTGGAGATGGAGCGATGGAATCGGATCGTGCACGAGCGGTTGACGAGTTTCTGCATCGCAGGGACAGATGGGGTGACTTTCATCCAGCAGTGGATGGACAATGCCTAGCTGATTATTATTCCTATTGTACAATCACGTGGGATTTCTTCGTTTGAGTTTCGTCACGTGTTGGTCGCTTTGAGCGTTGTGATGAGAGTCATAAAGAACTAGACACAGTGGTTACAGAAGCATTGTCTAAGACACTTCTAAATACACATCTGTATTTAATCAATATTCCTGGCCGCATAATATATATCATCATCATCATCATCATCACGACAAGCCTATATATATACATATTTTAAAATGATATTGATGTCAGCAGACACAGCTGTAGACACACTTTTAATTTGAAAGCGCAAAGTTTCCCCCGTGTAGCTTTAACAAACTGCTGGGGCAAGTACTCGTTGGTTTTTTCGGTAAAGTCGCGTAGTTAAACATAAAATAAATGAAAAAACAACTGAATAAAATTCTAGATTTGAAGCTTTCGTGACCGCAATGATTCATATTCTTAGGTTTTTTCCGGTAAAGTCACGTAGGTGACTTTACCTGCAATCTCTCATTTACTTGATACAGCTGTCGTGGCTGTGACGGTACCACCTGAAGACGGAAGCTTGTGTTGCCTCCGAAACGTCGTGATTTTTCTTTTATTTTACTTTTTAATGTTTTTACCTACGTGACTTTACCGAAAAAACTTAATTAAAGCACGACGTTTCGGAGGCAACACAAGCTTCCGTCTTCAGGTGGAACCGTCACAGCAAAATTACTGCATCAAGATACAGTAATTCAGTTGTTTTTTTAATTTGTTTTATTTTTAACTACGTGACTTTACCGAAAAAAACCCCAAAGAGTATGAATCCTTGCAGTCACGAAAACTTCAAATCTAGAATGCTGGCGCAAGCGCTGTTTGCGAGCGCCTATTAACGGAGGCCGGCACTGCACAACGAGTGTTGGGGCGAGTGTAACCGGCGTCGTGAGCCCGTCAATCTTTGTGTCATCCGGCACGAATTGTACCCACCGCACCAGGTACTCATTTCAGGATGAGCAGTCGTCTCCTAGGAGCGGTCGATCTTTCAAATCACCGCTGCTGTTATCGGGAATCGAACTCGGTCCGCCGGGCTCGTGGCGCGAGTAGCTGCCATCTGTTATGAGCGCGGGCTGGACAGAGACCGAGTGAGTGATGGAAATTTCGAACGATGCTCTGGGTTGGTTGGACACATGGAACGCCGCGAGACTCGGCGATTGCGACTGAGTGAGTCGAATGATGAACCAGGTTGACAAGGATTTAGAAAGCTGAGATCTGACACAAACACAAATACAGCAGCAACAACAACTCAATACGTTCGCCAATAACAACGTGGCCTTAATACGAAACTAAATATAATGCTGGACGACGTTTCGGGCGCGTGCCCTCCTTTCTGGGACATGGATCAAATGTGCACATGAATACGGGCCATTGCCTAAAACGTCGGCTATTATTCGCATACGTTTCCCTCTTGAGACTTCGCAGTGTCAATGACACGGCACGTGTTGAGCGTGTCTGTGTGTTGAGCGTGTCTGTGTGTTGAGTGTGTTGAGTGTGTCTGTGTGTTGAGTGTGTGTCTGTGTGTTGAGTGTGTGTGTTGAGTGTGTCTGTGTGTGGTGTGTGTGTGTTGAGTGTGTGTGTGTTGAGTGTGTCTGTGTGTGGAGTGTCTGTGTGTTGAGTGTTTCTGTGTGTTGAGTGTGTCTGTGTGTTGAGTGTGTGCGTGTTGAGTGTGTTTGTGTGCTGAGTGTGTCTATGTGTTAAGATAAGAGGGCTCGAATCTGAAACTGGCGAATGCCTCCGCGAGAAACCGACGCCACCTCTCATGATTCCCACCCACCCACCCCGCACCTCCGATTATCACAGGTTGGCTACGTACGGTGCGAAAGAAGTTCAACATACATTCAACTAGTTCCATCGCTCCGTCTCGTCGGCAGACGTCCTCTCGGACACGTTACAATTCTTGCCTTTCATGAAGTTTTTTTACTATAAACTACTTTCTTTTTTTACCCGGTACGGCCTACTGAGCCATATGTCGTCCTTTTTTAGAAGCGACTCGTCCATCACGAATGATAGATCAACGAAGTGGCTTTAATCGTCATTTGGAAATGTACAAGCAGTCAAATACTCTAAACGCACGTGGATTTTAAATGTGCAGGCAAACCCCAGAGGACCCGGAGATAAAAATTCACGCGGACACGGAGAGAGAGACACCCAAACTCCAAATGTACAACAGGCGTCCAGGTCGGGATCGATCCCACGACCTCCTGCACACCGGGCGAGGGAATTAACATCTCGCCACCGTGACAGAAGCAAGTCCTGGGGTCACCGCTACTAACTAAAAAAACTAATTCAGAAAATAAGAATTGGGTCAAAAAACGCACGGCGTGGCGGGCGTTGTTTGGTTTCACTTCGAGGGCAGACTCAGTCTGGGACTCTCCGATGCACGTCAAGTCCCGCACGAGACACTTTGCAAAATGCAGTATTCCCATGATCGGTGAACCGAGTAATTCGCCTCCCGCGGAGTGTGCCCCGAAAAGCCGGTGAATGCCCGTCACGTGTTGCTCGTACAAGATTATTGCATCCAGCTGAGCGCAGCATCAGGGAGGAGGGTGCCTATGATTGATTGCGCTGTGAGAGCGGAAGAGGAACGCGCGGATTATGGAGCATGCACTTGCGCAGAGACAGCAGCTTGAGCGTTCAGAACGTGCCCGTTGATGGCCGATGGTCGAGACTAACAATCGATTGGCAGTCAAAGGAGGGAACGCATTTCCGTGGGAGGAGAGGAGGGGGGTGCTGGTACGTCGATCTTGGAGACGGAGCGATGGAATATCAGCCTGCAGGCGCGATGTGCATCGTTGCATCGCAAGAGCGTGGGAGAAGGCGACGACTTGGGGAGGGCCTTGGTCCAGCAGTGGATCGATCATGGTTGGCGATGAGTGACATCTGAAGGAGATCGTGTCTCCGGGTTGGATAGAATTGCAATCACTTTGTGCGGAAGTCGGCTGTTCGGTTGTCCTTTGGATGTCACGGTTACCTGCCAAACTAATGTGGAATTTCCACCACGGGCTCAGGGCTATAACCCTCACTTCTTGTTGAACATTTCCGTCCAATTGTTTGAACGACTCTGACCCATTACATAACATACCACGTGCGCTCACGCATTATCGTCAAATGAGGAACACGTGGATTAGAGAACATACACCATATACACACAAGCTGTGACAAAGACCCCTGTATAGCCTTAACAGACTACAAGGGAAAGTGCCTATGAAGGCCGGAACGGTACACGAGGGGGTGGGTGGCCAGCACCAAGCACGGCCGCCTTTGTATCTCTCGTGGCGATGCTTACAAACCGCACCAGGTGCTCATATGAGGCTGAGTAGACCTAGGGGAGGCCCAGGACCGGTTCAGATATTCGTCACCGGTGTTGGCCGTGAGCGGGCATCGAACTCGGGTCGCCGGCTTCGTAGCGCAGCGCGCTAACCGCTACACTACCAATCCCCGACATACACACACGTGCATGCACACATACACACACGTGCATGATTTCGCTTAGGTCTGCAGTGATGATCCGAACGCCCGAGGCAACGGGGGGGGGGGGGCGGTGGAAGCGATGGCGGGAGTGGGGAGGGCATTCGTCTTGACCTGGTGTCGAACTCGGGTCTGTGCTCAATGGAGCAGCTCGTTCGCTCGCTGGCACCGCCGAGCCGTTCGCCATCGGCGCGCCGACATCACGGGGCGGTGACGCCTCGCCAGGAGGATTTACAAACGGCGCGCTCGAGTGCTGCCCGGCACGAGTTAGCGAGGGGGGAGAGCGAGGAGCGAGCGAGGGGGGAGAGCGAGGGGGGGGTGAGAGCGAGGAGAGAGTGGGATTCACTGGGGCTGCGTTCGTTTAGCCCCCCCTCGCCACCCCCCCCCCCCACCACCGAACTCACCACCCCAGTGTCGAACTTCACTCGAGCGGTGTTCGCATTCGCGCGTGCGTCTCTGCGCGCGCGCACGCGCGTGTCCTCTGCGCGTCGATTTGTCGAGCACATCGCTTTATAATTGGTGCATTGATGTGTTATACTCCTGGAGGTATAGATTATTTATGTACAGTACTTATTGATTTGGCGACGTGCGTGTGTGTAAAACAGTGGCCAATATTTGAACCGTTCCCCGGCCCTCCTCTAGGTCGACTCAGCATTTAAATGAGTACCTGGAGCAGTGCGTTAAAAAAAAACCATCAGCAACTTCAGGAGAGAGAGAGAGCGAGACAGACAAATGCGGCCGAGCGTGGTGCTGACCACCCACCCACCTGCGAATCGTGTGCCATGCCGGCCTTCATAGGTGATTTCTAAACAACACTTGACCGAGCAGTTTGTTTTTTAAAAAAAGCAGCAGCAGCTATACGGGGCAATCTTTGTCTTTGTGCACGTGAAGAATCCGATTCTTCCGCGACTGCCGGCACCATGAGTTTCAGCATTGAGAGCATCTTGTCTCGTCGTTCGCGGTGCGCCCTCGCTGGCTACGGATTCCTGGGCTCGATCATCCCCGCCGGAGGTCCGGCCTTCTCCTGCACCTCCTCAATATCATCATCATCATCAGCAGCAGCAGCAGCATTATCCTCATCACAATCGTCGTCGTCGTCCTATCCACTCGGCGCGCAGGCGGCGGCGGCGGCCGTCATCGAGATGCTGCCCGCGCCGAGCGTCGCTCTGCCGCAGAGTTTCCCCGCCGGGTTCGCATCTGCGACCGGGGCCCCCTTCTGCCCCGCGGGCTACAGGCGGGCGGTCGCTGCCCCCGGGGCGCTGTGCTGCCCTCCGGGCCTGAACCCGCTCGCGCACCTGCCCTTCTCAAAATGCACGTGCGGCATCTCGACAGGTACCACCACCGCTTTCTACACACCCGCACACATACAGAGACACACGTATAGACACACACATAGACACGCACACATACAGAGACGCGCACAAACACACTTAGACACACAAAGACAAAGAGGGGGTGGGTGACCAGTGGAGGCTGAGTTGACCTAGGGGAGGCCCATGACCTGTTCACATAATCGTGACTGGCGCTGGCCGTGAGAGGAAATCGAACTCGTGTCGCCGGGTTCGTAGCGCGGCGCGCTAACCGCTACACTACCACTCCTAACACACACACGCGTACACACACACGCGTACACACACATACACACATAAAATAATAACACTCGACATTCGCCACTAAGTAACGGCGATGTCACCACGGCGCCTGTGTCAGGCCAGGTGCACTTTGAGGCTATCACGTGAAGTGTCGAAGGCTCTCTGCTGGCAGGAGGTCACGGGACAGACCCTGCAGGTGCCACGGGGTTGACTGACTGAGCTGACTGGCGGATGCGCCAGCTGACAACTTGCTCTATTTTACCCGTCCGGCGCTCCGCTCGTTGTTGTGAGCATCGCTCTTCTGCCCTCCGTTGTTGTTGGAGGGCGACTGCCTCCAACTGTCCAGTAGCGTCCTGCACGAGCCTCCTCCACAGAGGCCGATCTTGACACCGCTGGTACCAGTCGTGGACAAGTCCACTCAGCTCCACGTCGTTCTTCTCCAGGCCGTGTCGCGCCCGTTTAGCCCCCCCCTCTATGCGGGCTACGGGACCCACAAAGACAAACATCCCCCGTATAGCCTGAACAGGCTGTTGGGGCAAGTGCTGTTAGCGAGCACCTATAAAGGCCGGCACGGTACAGGGAGGGGGGGGGGGGGGTCAGCACCACGCCCGACCACCTTTGTCTCTCCAGTGGCGATGTTTACACATCACACCAGGTACTCATTTGAGGCTGAGTTGACCTAGGGGAGGCCCAGGACTGCTTCAGATCATTGTCACTGGTGTTCGCCCTTAGAGGGAATCGAACTCGTGTCGCCGGATTAGTAGCGCAGCGCGCTAACCGCTATGCCACCGCTCCCTTAGCACACACAATGCGCACACACACACACGTGCAGACACGTGTACACGTGTGTTTGCTGACACATACGAGCACACATACATATACTATAGCGGAAAAGGCGAATTTCCCCGTGTGATCTAAGTAGAGTGTTGGAGCAAGTGTTCTCTGTGGGGCAGCCCCTAGTCTTACACACACATAACTACTTAATTCCCATGTGTTGCAGAGGTTTTATTGTTTGTATATGCGGGTGCCTTTCTTATTGTATGTTTCTTTGTGTCTATGTGTCTGTTTATGTATTTGTATGAGTGTCTTCTTGGTTCTTTCGGTAAAGTCACAGACCTGGTCTTCACCTGAGGACGGCTGCTTGCGTTGTGGCCGAAACGTCGTGAGAATTATTTTATTATGTTTTATTTTTATTATTTTATTATTTCCATTCTACATGACTTTACCGAAAGAACCAAGAAGATGATTGTATGAGTGTCTCTGTGTGTGTGTTTCGCTGTGTGTCTATATCTGTGGTCGTGTGTATTTCCGTATTGTTTCTCTCTGTCGTCGTTTTTTTGTCTTTGTGTTCATTTGTGTGCGAATTTGACCCAAACATCCTCCTCGCAGACACCGGTCTAACCAGCAACCGCATCGGGACACCATCAACACACATCCCCTTCGTGAATGGAACATAAAAGCCAAGCCACAGTAGCGCTACTCGGGCGATGCAACCAAAAACTACGGCCAATGGAATAGAGTTTACCCACAGCGACTCACGGATATACGGAGAGACTCGTGGTGACGCGCAGAGACACATAGACATACACAAATATACATTTCGACTCTGCGCAGAAAACATTGAGATACATTCAAGACACGAGCGAAAGCAGTGCCATTGTGGCCATACAACTTCACATGTGGACGGTGCAGTAAACCCGTAGAGAACACACAGAGACTCATCGACATACACAGAGACCAACATTGAGATACATTCAAGACACGAGCCACAGCAGTGCGAGTATGGCCATGCAACTCAAACGATGGACTGCGCAGTAAACCCGTAGAGAACACACAGAGACTCATCGACATACACGGAGACCAACATTGAGATACATTCAAGACACGAGCCACAGCAGTGCGAGTATGGCCATGCAACTCAAACGATGGACTGCGCAGTAAACCCGTAGAGAACACACAGAGACTCATCGACATACACGGAGACCAACATTGAGATACATTCAAGACACGAGCCACAGCAGTGCGAGTATGGCCATGCAACTCAAACGATGGACTGCGCAGTAAACCCGTAGAGAACACACAGAGACTCATCGACATACACGGAGACCAACATTGAGATACATTCAAGACACGAGCCACAGCAGTGCGAGTATGGCCATGCAACTCAAACGATGGACTGCGCAGTAAACCCGCTATGGTCTGCGCGCTACTTCAACGGAGGAGGCGGAGTAGGAACAGGAAAAACCACGAGAACTCTTCACTCCTGAAGCCCTCTCGTCGTGGCCGGCAGACCTCGACATTGACACCGAGCTCCTGAACACGATCGCTGCCACAATACGCAAGGAAATAAAGCGTGCGCGTGTCTGTGTGCGTGTGTATCTATGCGTGTCACCGTGTGTCACTGTGTATGTGTCTTGCGTGTGTCTCATTGTCTGTATGTGCGTCTGTGTGTCCGTCAATGTGATTGTCTGGGTTTGTCTGCATCTGTTGAAGTTAGCGACCCGGGTTCGATTCCCACTCACGACCAACACCGGTGACGATTATCTGACCGATCCTGGGCCTCCCTTAGGTCGACTCAGCCTCAAATGAGTACCTGGAGGGGGGAGGGAGTCTATGATGCGATGGAGATGACGCGCTGTCGCGTGCGTCACGAAGGCACCACGTGACGGTTGACCGCGGCGCGTGCCGCGCGCGACCGCGTGCCACGTCGCGGCGGACCGCGAAGCCACGGTTGTTGGTCACGTACGGCGCGAAAGAAGTTCAACGCTCGATACGTGCGTGCGCGTGCGTGCGCGTGCGTGCGCGTGCGTGCGCGTGCGTGCGCGTGCGTGCGCGTGACTTCAATGCCACGGCGCGCGTGCTCACGGACAGCCGGGCCAGACAGAGGCACGTGTGCGTACGGATGCTACGGGTGGGCAGAGACAACGTACACGATCATCAGGGTAGACACAGAACACATATGAAGGCAGGCACGGCTCACGAGGGGTTGGGTGGCCAACACAACGCCCGGCCGCTTTTGTCTCCCCACTGCTGATGTTTAACACGCGGCACCAGGTATGAATTTTAAAGCTGAGTCTACCTAGGTGACGATATTCGGCACCGATGTTGGCCGTGAGCGGGAATTGAACTTCAAAAAGACAAAGATCCCCCGTATGGCCTGAACAGATTGTTGGGGAAAGTATTGTTAGCGAGCACCTATTAAGCCCGGCAGGGGGAGCGATGGTGTGACCAGTGCCACACCCGACCGCCAATGCTTCCGAGGGCCAACTTTCACACCTCACCAAATACCAATTTAAGTCCGAGCCCACCGAGGGGAGATCCAGAACCGGTTAAAATATGGCTCGCCGTGGATTCCTCGCCGCGTCCGGGAATCGAACTCGGGTGGACAGGTTCACGACGTAATCCGTTTCCCTCTCAGCTGTCAAACGCCTCCATCAGCTTGCAGCCCGTTGTCACTCCACTGCTGGACGAAGGCTTCCCCCCCAATCGCCACGTCGTCCGGGCGTTACTTCACCACGTGGCTCAGTGCTGGCTCGTGGAGGGTAAGGTTGTGGCTCCGTTAACGCTTCGCGGACTAATCGTCACTGATGCTGCCCGCAGCGGAGAATCGGACTCAGGGTGTTTGGTTCATCGCGACGCGCTCTCACCGCTGCGCCAACGCTCCACCACTTCTCAGCGTCGCGGGTTGAACAATGACTGAGTGGATTGGAGGTGACACGTGGTAAAGAGACACGGGGAGCAATGAACGAAATCGACGGAACGAACACTGCAAAGCGCGCAAAGAAGCCGGCGGAGAATCTCTCCTGGGATGACACTGAGGGGCAGGAAGAGGAACCGCGTGGGTTCGAGAAGAACGCGGGCTGGTGAATCACATCGCTCTGGCTCGGGGTGGGAAACCTGATGCTCTTGAAGGACTGCAGTCCCTGAAAACAAGCGGCTCTTCTTGTTGTTATCTTGGTTGCCGAGCCCTGAGCATGGAAGTCCAGTTCACCATGGACGTCAAGTTCACCATGGAAGTCCAGTTCACCATGGAAGTCCAGTTCACCATGCAAGTTCAGTTTACCAATGAAGTCCAGTTTACCATGGAATTCCAGTTTACCATGGAAGTCATGTTCACCATGGAAGTCCAGTTCACCATGGAAGTCATGTTCACCATGGAAGTCCAGTTTACCATGAAAGTCCAGTTCACCATGGAAGTCCAGTTCACCATGGAAGTCATGTTCACCATGGAAGTGCAGTTCACCATGGAAGTGCAGTTCACCATAGAAGTCCAGTTTACCATGGAAGTCCAGCTCACCACAGAAGTCCAGTTCACCACAGAAGTCCAGTTCACCATAGAAGTCCAGTTCACCATAGAAGTCAAGTTCACCACGGAAGTCCAGTTCACCATAGAAGTCCAGTTCACCATGGAAGTGCAGCTCACCATGGGCAGGGGTCGGCAACCTGTGGTTCTGGAGCCGCACGCGGCTCATCAATGGCCGTTTCGTGACGCCATTTATTGAGAACCATCGTCTCGTACTCACGCTGCATTGCGGCTCTTTAAATATTGACTCCTTTCTTTTTTTAATACCGAATTAGAACAAAAAAGCATGGCTCTTGTTGTTGTTGTTTTGGTTGCTGATACCCAGCGCTAGCTGCGTCGCGGCTGGGTACGCGCGGATGGCCGATGATCAAGAATCACAACAACAACAACAACAAACAAAAACCGAGTCGTCACCATTGGAACCTCCTTTGCCAGTA